TTGTCTTTTTAGTAATATGGTATTTTATTTAAATATGGATGTAGATTACATGTATGTTGCCTTAAAATAACTTTTATATATGTACAATTCATATGATTTTAATGATTTCCTTTCTTTCTGTTAGAGAGTTTGAAAGTCTCTCTATTTATACCGCCTGCCTTTTCCACTTCGTTGTCACATTTAGGGTGTTCAAACGGTTTGGTTACCGTAGTAACCGTTTTAACCGGTACTATTTGGATAATTTGGTTTGGTTAATTTGGATAATTGGTTTGGTTTGGTTAAAGTTTTTAGCTTGTTTGGTTTAGGTTGTTTGGTTTGGTTTCATACACTCCTAACCAGTCAAACCAAATTAACCAGTTAAGTAATTAGTCATATATATAACATATATTATATACACATACTTAATACTTTGCATAACCACTCAAGAGTTAACGTTCATCCCTTTTAGACTCATAAAATATAAAGCTCAATATTGCTCATATAGTGTATATTTGTATATGTAAAGTGTAGACCACAACATATGGACGCCTAATTTAGATAAATTTCATACATTATGATGGATGAAAACTTGAAAGGAAGGTCATTTCCAGCCTATGATAATTGCTAAGAGACTAAAGTCAATTTACACAAACACAGCAATTCATTAACCCATATCATTGTCATAAATTTTTGTTAGGTGAATACTTTTATACTAATTGTAAGATAATTGTCTTAGTTGCATGTATTTTTGTTAAGGGTCAACTATAACTACGTGTTGATTGCTATGTTTTATTCATTATATAAATTGCTAATTGTTGCATTAACCGAAAAATTTTCATCGTCAATGATAATGTGATTTTATATTGGTTAATCTGGTTAACCAATTAACCAAACCGATTAAACTTTAGTTTGGTTAATTTGGTTGTTGTATTAGTTTGGACGGTTTGGTTATGATATTGCATTCCATGATTAATGAAATTTAGCCTTATTTGGTTTGGTTATAACCATGGTAACCATTTGAACGCCCCTACTCACATTGAGAAAGCAGATGTGGGTGAGGGAGGGAAAATGACAGCATGGTCATGTTAGTAAAGCTCTTAAGGAACAGTATCATAATTATAACTTTCATAAGTATTAAGATGTTAATTTTGCTGGGATGCCATCGAACTTCTACTAACCATTAATTCAGAATGATTTAACTTGCAATGAACCAAAACTATAATCATAGATTACAATTCAATTAATCAGATTCAATTGCTAAAGTTATTGTATTTTGTTTGTACGACCTAAGTAAATTGCTCATTATGGATCGTTGCATGTAGCCCATGACAACTGACAAGGTTGAAAGCAGAGTCGCTTGTTAAACATATAATTTATCCACATATTTTCTGACATATTGTTTATCCTATTTTTACTTTGGTATGAATATGCAGCCCCGATAATTGTGCTTGAACGTAAAAGAACAAAAGACAAAGGGGAGAAAAGGTGGATGGGACAATCATGTTTTGTGTGCGTGGGACAAATTATGACCAAGAAAGTAAGCCCGGAGACCTGAAGATTCAAACTCAGCTGTTGATTGTTTTCTCCATAAGTTACCGTGTAAAGACTTGGAAAATGCAAGTCTTTAATTACGACTTGAAGAATTAAATGATCGTGTGTGGTTAGTGGGTTATAAACCGCAGGGAAGTCTAACAAGCAAACAAATCTACCTTTTAGCCTCTAGGTTGAGGTATGGGATACGATTCAAGCCACTAATGTGACCCTCTCAACCTATCGACTAAGGAATGGTTAGACTTCACCCTCGAATTGGAGTTCGGACGACCACCCACAACCAAACCCTAAGTGCTAATTCGAAATAGGAGGTTTTCCCTTTAACTAACCTAGAATAGGAGGCATAGAATGCCCAAGGAAACCCATCTCTAATAGAGCCTCTTAAGTTAAGGAGGGTTCTCTCTAAACTAGCTTAGGAGACATTGAATGCCCAAGGAAACCCATCTCAAAATGAGCCTCTTAGGTTAAGGAGGGTTCTCTCTAAACTAGTTTAGGAGGCTTTGAATGCCCACGGAAATCGAGCCTCTTGGGTAAAGGAGGTTTCCTCTCTAAACTAGTCTAGGAGGCATGAAATGCCCAAGAACCCCATCTCAATATTGAGCCTCTTAACTTAAAGATGTTTCCTCTCTAAACTAGCGTAGGAGGCATGAAATGCCCAAGAACATCCAATGAACCTCCTAACCTAAGGAGGTCTCCTATCTAAGCTAGGTTAGAATGGCAATTAGATTGATAGGCTTTCACATAACACAATCATTTCTTAATAATACCTCCACATTCACATTAAAACACAACCACACACAAATCATTCAATTCATACAAGCATTCACATAATTGTAGCTAGAGTTTACAACACCCAAGTGAATAGGTAGGCTAATCCATAGCTAGGCAAAGGAAAACAACAAAAAGGAGAGAAAGAACCATGGAGAGGTGTAAATCTTCCTCCCTTGTTGCTTGAATCTCCCTCGAGAAGAAGAAATCTTCAATCCCCTAGCTTGAATTGAGCCCAATCTCTTTCTTCCTCCTTTGAATGTCACTTTCTCTCTCTAGAATGGGAAGGGCAAACCCTAATCTCTCACTACAAACCCTCTTTATTCTGAAACCTAAAACCCTACCTAAAGCTCTCATTTCTCCTTCAACTCCCTTCTCCTTTTATACCTAGATCGGGCTCTGTTCACGGTCTAAGACCTCAGTTCACTCAGTTCAAGGTCTTAGTTCAAGAACGCGTTGATCAGATCAAAGTCTTGGTTCAAGGACGCTTTGATCAGTTCAAGGACGTGTTGATCAGTTCAAGGTCTTAGACCTCAGTCCACGACCGTGAACATCAAAACGGGTCTTTGAACACAGTGTGTTGAACCAAAACGCACCGCTTCACATCCCTGAGTTCACGGTCTGAGGCTTATGTTCGCGGTCTTAGGGACCATGAACAACCCTGGCGTCAGTAACCTCAAAACCTTCTCTGGACGCTCCTTTGTTCACTGATTATGGCTCCAGTTCACGGTCCTGTAAAACCGTGAACTCCAATGGCAGACCTTGAACACATGCTGTTTCCTCCTCTTTGCTCCTTTTCTTCCAACTTTCGACTCCAGGGTTGGTTTCGCCTATTAGAATCTGAAACACACGAAACCTAGCGTAAAACCACCCCTTTTTGGAGTTCAATTGCAACAAACGTCAAAAAGAAATGGGGATAAAATGTGTACAATTAGACCAGAATCAGAAATCTTTTAGATATAAGGGGCTTTGAGAATAACTTTAGTTTTAATTTTCTCATTTCCACATACATTCTGAAAATATTTTTGTGGAAAAAGTTGAAGTCTTTGAAAAGTTATGCGAAATAAAAAAAAAATCACTATGATCGGATAACCGAGCACAAAGTTAAGGTCATTGAAAATTTCAATGTAGTGGATCGAGGTCACCAAACTCGATCTCATTAGTGGTTCGAGGCCCACTAACTCAAACCAAGCCAAATTTAGGTATTTTGGAAAACATTTTTATAAGTGTTATAGTTTAGAATTTTAAAAAAAAAATAATGTTGTATTTGAGGAAAATTCCCAATCTAATTTGAGTTGGTTAAGACTTTTTGTTCTGATAAAATTTTTGTTGGCAAACAAAAATAAAGTTCTGATGAAAATTTGTTAAAGATGATTAATTTTGATTTTTATCAATTCTCGACAAATTCATAGAAGATATTAAATGAGCATGCAAATACATTGGTAGCAAACAAAATAGTACTACAAATGACAGGTATAAATTTAGGGGGTGTTCAAATGGTTACCATGGTTATTACTAAATCAAATAAGGTTAAATTTCATTAACCATGAAATACAATATCATAACCAAACCGTCCAAACTAATACAACAACGAAATTAACCAAACTAAAGTTTAATCGGTTTGGTTAATTGGTTAACCAGATTAACCAATATAAAATCATATTATCATTAAATGAGAAATTTTCGGTTAATTTATCAATTCTCAATTTATATAATGAACAAAACATAACAATCAACACATAGTTATAGTTGACCCTTAACATAAATACATGCAAATAAGACAATTATCTTACGGTTAGTATAGAAGTATTCACCTAACAAAAAATTATCACAATGGTATGGGTTCATGAATTGTTGTGTTTGTTTGAATTGACTTAGTCTTTTAGCAATTTTCATAGGCTGAAAAGGACCTTGCTTTCAAGTTTTCATCCAACATAATGTATGAGATTTATCTAAATTAGGCGTTCATATATTGTGGTCTACACTCTACATATACAAATATACATTATAGGAACAATATCAAGTTTTACATTTTATGAGTCTAAAAGGATGAACGTTTAACTCTTGAGTGGTTATTCAAAATATTGATGATCAAAAAAAGTTATTCAAAATATTAAGTATGTGTATATATTAGATATATGACTAATTATTTATCTAGTTAATTTGATTTGGCTGGTTAGGAGTGTCTGAAACCAAACCACCTAAACCAAACAAGCTAAAATCTTTAACCAAACCAAACCAATTATCCAAATTAACCAAACCAAATTATCCAAATAGTACTGGTTAAAACGGTTACCATGATAACCACACCGTTTGAACACCCCTACAATTCTTAACATGGTGCACACCCTCCCCTCCTCACGATGTTATGATTACCGATGCTAACTGGTTCAGTTACTGTTAATTACAAATTGAGATGGCGGTTAGTGGTTAATCACTAGACAAAAAATACATACTGATAACCGAACATGTAAGGTTTTAATTGTCTGTTATTGGTTCTATTAGTGGTTAGTTTTTCAGTTAACCACTAATCAATAACAACCTCCACATTTGGTATTTTTCTTTTGTTATTTTGAAATTTTGTATGCGGTCCTTTTTAATAATCATACAAATAATTCAAAAAAATTTAACACAAAATAATAATTATAAGAATTTACATCAATACAATACAACATATATAGTGAATTAATAACCAAATTTAAAATAATCGAAATTCTTCAACCAATTAGCGAGTGCCAACTAGCAAGACATCAAACATAATCACCACAAGATCCTCCTCTTTCACAAACATCAAATAAACAAAGACTACTAGGGTTTGAGGTTTGCTCTGCCGACTGCAAAGGAGAGTTTGAGATGAGTGACTTTCGGGTTCTGACTCTTAAACATATTTGTGACTTTGGGAGCAACGTTGTTTGGATGTTTGAAGTTGCTAATTTTGTTGGTTTGAATCTTGGACTTTTTCCCTTAGCCAAAGCCCAAAACTATGTGATTGTACTAATAGGTGATTATCGATTTTCTTATGATTAACCACCAATCGTTCAATCCATTAGCGATTAACTAATAAGCAAAATACAACTAACATAAATCGAACCATTAAAAATTCTTGATTATCAATTAATTACTAATTAGCATTATTAGTTTAATCGATAACGGACTAACTGTTTGCCACTCAATAGGAATGATTTCTTCCTCCTCATCCTTTGATGTACGTGCCCCTTTTGCACATAATTTAGGGCTGAGAATCGGTTTCCTCAATTTCATTGCACACTTGGGTTGGGTAATTGGGTTGCACCATAATAAGTTATGGGACTCGATTCCTGCCCTCAATTATCTTTTGTTTACAGTAAAGGCTGCTATTGGTTATTATAACTAACAATGGCGTCTAGATAAGATAATTGGTTGGTTTAGTTCCAAGTTAGGTCTTCATAATTATTTGGGTCGAGGACCTACTATTCCATGGTTGAATTGCTACCCAAGCTACCAATAATTACAGGGATAAACAAATGAAGCTGGTACCTAGCTAGCTTCTAGTAGTGGGTTCTTCTAGTGAGTAGTGATATACATATCATCACATCAGGTAACAATGGATTATGAAAGAGATGGGGTATCATAATCATCTGCGAATAAGAAATGTTCAATCAAGGATATCAACTTTTGGCTGGTATTGAAAATATCATCGATTTTGTTTTCTAATACATCTCTATAGAATGCTAATAAGAACCGTTTCATTTTTGTAGGTTGGCCCGGTCTATTGCTCTTTTTTTGTGCCTATTTCGCCGTAGGGAGTTGGTGTACAGGAACAACCTTTGCAACCTCGTGGTATACTCAGGAATTAGCTAGTCCCTATTTGGAATGATGCAACTTCTTTACTACCGCAGTTTCTACTCCTATTAATAGTTTAGCCCATACTTTGTTGTTACTATGGCGTCCTAAAGCACAAAGGGATTTTACTTGTTGATGTAATATGATTTAGTCGAACGAAAAAGAATTGAATTGAGAGAAGATAAATCATAATTTTCCAACCAAATAAGTCGGAGAGTACAAAATTGATCAAAGCTTGTTTACTCCACAGAGAGGTATGTAATGGTATAAAAGATATCATGTAACTTATATTCAATACCATTATAACGATTAGCGATGACAAATTCTTATCCAATCTATGAATACAATTCATTCATCCACTAAAATATCTAATTAATCCAGTCTATTTAAATCTAATCTATTTGATCTAAATCTAATTGGATTGGTGGATTCATAAATTATTGTGAAATAACAATTTAGTGCATGTATTTTTATATTTTACAATTTGGTACCTATAATTTAATTTTTTATACAAAAAATATTATTGAAAAATTACCTTTTGGTGCCTAAATTTTTTTATAGTGACTTTTTAGTATTTCAAAATTAAAATAATATTCCAAGGTATGGATGTCACTTGGATTCATAAATCAATCCACCAGTCCATTTGTCCAATTCATAAATTCACCTATTCATTTGATCCAATCCGTCCCAGAATCCAATCCATTTTGCCACCTCTAATAATAACGATGCAATTTTGTGAATTAAATGTATGACTCTCCAAATTATATTTTCGTTGGAAAATATTAACGAGGTTAGTAAATCATTTCTCCAATATAGTTGCGGGAATATGTTGAACGAAGGGTATTTTCAGAACTCAAGAAGCATCCATAACTGGGAATAATACTCCGGAGAGTCTAGGGTAGAGATGGCAAATGGATCGATGGATTGGATCAAATCCACCAATGTATTTGATCCATAGACCCAACTAACATTTAAAAATTGGATCATTTTGTAAAATTTGAAGGTACTAAATTGTGATTATGAAAAATGTGTAGGTACAAAAAAATTTGAATGGTATTTTTTTTTGTTATTTAGGTATCAAAATTTACAATATAAAAAGTTAGGTACTAAATTGTAGTTTTCTAAATACTCATAAATTTACCGATTCATTTGGATTTAAGTTAATGTATTGGATTAGTTGGAAAAGGCCTATGATATAATCGAGTGGTCCTTTTTGTTTGCACTTCTAGCAAAAATGGGATTTAGTGCGCAATGGATTGGTTAGATTAAGGAATGTTTATCTTCTGCAACATTTTCAGTCAAGATGAATGGAAAATCATCCGATTCCTTCGATCTCAAAGAGGGTTGAGACAAGGGGATCATTTATCACCCCTTCTATTCGTAATTTACATTGAAGGTTTCGAATCATTATTAAGTCAAGCAGTAACTGAAGGCTTTTGAAAGGGATCAAAGTGAGTCTGCCCAGTCCAAGTGTTTCTTACTTGTTCTACGTAGAGGATTCCTATTTTTCCCTAAAAATATCAAACTAGGAATGCAATATTATGTTACATATACTCAATGAGTAGCAAATCCTCAATGAAAAGAAAGATAACCTTTTGAAATCCGCTATATGTTTCTGTCATGATGTGGATGTTTTAGATCACCAAGAGATGATGGCTATTTTGGGGGTTGGAGCTATGGATGTACATGATAAATACTTAGAATTGCCTACTTTAATTTATTGATCTAAAACAGAGTCCTTCTGGCATTTGGAAGAGAAACTATGGAGCAAGATACAAGGCTAGAAACAAAGATGCTTGTTTTGGACGGCGAAAGAGACCTTACTTAAGGTCGTGGCAGCTGACTTACCTATACACATTATGTCGTATTTTTTATTGCCTTTTACTCTTGTCAGAATTTGGATAAGCATATGGCACGATTCTGGTGGGGATTTTTGTTCGAAGGAGACAAGCCTCATTGGGTGTCATGGAAAAATTTGTCGCATTAAGTTTAACGGGGATCCTAGATTTTGCGGATTTTAGGATTTCAATCAAGCATTACTAGTAACAGCAATCTGGAGATTGCTTAATGATTCACATTCTTTGTTAACCCAGGTTCTGATAGGAAAGTATTTTCCATACTCTTCTCTTCCAGAGGCGACAGGTCGTTCATGAACGTTTTTGGGTTGGCGTAAAACTTACATGGAAGAGACTTGTTATAGAAAAGCTTGTGGTGGCAGATTGGTAGTGGAGCTTTAGTACGCAATTTGGAAGATAGTTGGATTCCTATAATTAATATTGTGTCAAGACATTTGAAACCGCAAGCTCCTCTGTCGAGTGGAAAAAAGATTTGCATTGATAAATCCAGGAACAGGCGAGTAATGTGAGGAATGTTTGGAGAAATGCTTTCAACCCGACCTACGTCGGCAGATTGCTTGTCTTTCGCTGCCAAGGTTGTCGATAATGGATCGACTAGTTTGGATTGCAGAACCTGATGGACTTTACTCGGTTCGGTTCGGGTATCACATGGCCATTCAATATAGACGTAGGGAGCCAGGGTGGAAATTTGAAGTATTATTTGTCGATACAGTGTTCTGGAAGCGAGTTTGGGGATTCCCTATCCCGCCCAAACTCAAGTTTTTTCTTTGGCAATTGCTTCGCAGTATTCTACCCATGACAGAAGCTTGTCGGGAGAAAGGGATTTCATGTCTACCACTCTGCCCGGTGTATTCAGAACCTTTAGAATCTCTTTAACATTTGTTCATTTAGTGCAGGTTTACGGTCGAGTTATGGGAAGGAAGCAACATTGGTCCAGCTTGGCTAGGGCTGGAAGACTCAATAGGGCGCATTTGGAAAGCCCGAAACTGAGTTGTGTTCGATCATGTCCAGTATGTGATTCCTCAGCGGAGCAAATCATGAGACTTATTGCGTTACTATAGCGCATTTGGAAAGCCCAAAATTGGGTTGTGTTCAATCATGTCCAATACACGAGTTTCGTTCTCTTGTAACAATACCAAGAGCAGGTTTGGGAGTAGTTAGCTCTTCCAATGCCATCGAATCCTCCACTTGTAGCCACGAGGCTCAAAATATGATAGCATTCGTGTGTTCTGTGGATGGTGTTGTTAGTTATGGCTCGCATTCTACTAGGGGGTTAGTAGTGCAATATAGAACGGGTAAAATGGTTTTTGTGCAGGGATTTCTTTATGCATGTATTCATGATCCCTATGTCCTGTAACAGCTGGCGCTCCGAGATGCTATTCGCTGGTGCTTTTTGAAAGGTCTCACTAAGGTGGTGTTTCAAGAGGATGCAAAAATAGTTCCCGATAAGGTAAGGGGGAAAGAGATACAGGATGTCAAAGTTGGTATCATTTTCGAGCAAATTGATTGGCTCAGGCAGTATTATGTTCACTTTGCGGTGGAATTCATCGGAAGACAAAACAATATGGCGGTCCATTTGGTGGCTAAAAAGGTCCTTTCTTTGTTTCCTGCAGGAATTAATGATTTTGATTTTCATCATTGGTTTCAATCGTAGTTGTAAGCTTTGGTTTTCTTGATGGGTTGTAAAGTGTAAACGCTGGTAACTTCTCAGTTTCTTGGTAATACAAGTTAGATTTTGGCCAAAAAAAAAGTACTACTTAAGATTTCAAAGGTTACCACTAGACTAAGCCTTCGTTCGTAAAAAAATGAAATGTACTTGAGCTTGGAAAACTAGTTTATACCATTATGTCTGTTTGGAAACTGATATGGTGCGACCTGTGGTACAACCGGTTTATACCAGTTCATGTTGTCTTTCGCAAAACATGTAAGAAAATAGAAAATCGTTAATACTAAATTAATTTAGACATACATATAATATATTTGAAGACAATCTCTATAAAATCCATATTCATACTTAAATAAAATACAACATTCCAAATAAAATTAAAATTATCATATTTAATGAAAAATTTAAAAAAATTATACTGAATCGAACAAATAATATAAATATCTATACATTCTGACTTGAATCCAACAAATAACATCAACACTTAACATTCAAATTTCAGAAAAAATTAAAAAAAAAATTATTTTAATAAAATCTACCAAAACAACGTCATTTTGTTTAAAAAGTCAAATCGATCACGTCAATCATACAAAAACATTCCAACCAATTTTATAACCGAGTACCGGCAGGAGAACCATAGTTTAATTAGTGATGGCAACTTGTTACAATATGAACACATATTTCTTTTAATAGCTAGAGACGATCTTTCAACTTGTTAGACTCAATTACTCATTCTATTATCACTATTTTCATTCATAAAAGTGTTTTTTCCTTCGTTTTATTGTAAAAAGCTATATTTGCGTGTATTTTTTTTCAAATAACATATAAGAGTGGGTCGGTCCGCCCCACCCCATACCTACGTAAATTTTGTCCATCCCGACCCACAATAACGTGGAACGAAGCATGAGTATTAAGGTACCCATCTTGCCGTTACCATCACTAATAAGTTTAATGGTTACAACACCTTTTTTTCCATCTCTCTCTCATTCTCTCTCTTCGTCCTTTCTATTTTTATAAGTTGTGTGTTTTGTCTGGGGCGGAGGGACGAGGAACGATGAAGATGAACAGCCAACCGCGGCTTCCTCCTCCTTCCTTCTCTCTCTGAAACTGGAGAAGAAGCAGTAGACGAAGACGAAGAAGCCGCAGCAGCAGCGGAGGGAGCTGTGGCATGGAACAAGAGCTGGCCATGCTCCGCCAGCTCATTGCTCAGCTCCAAGACCTCTTGAACTTCTACGGCTCTCCTCCTCCGCCGCCGCTCCGCCATCTCCACAACCACCACCTCCTCCTCCCTCACAATGACAGGTATCTGATTATCTACCTATTTAATTCTCTCTCGGTAGATCTCTTTCGTTGCTTTATCTTCCGAAATTCCTGATTCTTCTTTGATTGGGGGGATATCATATTTGGTTCAGATTCTTTAATGGGAGCTTACTGCGGTTCCCGCGTCAACCCTTGTTGATTAATCAGGTTGTCGAGGTTAATCTAGTGTCCGTGTGAGTGTGTGAGAGTTCGGTCAGTTAGGTGGAGTCGAGAACTGGAAAATCGAAGAAGGATTTCAGATTTTCCCCCTGCCGTGTGATGGCACGCAATGTGGAGGTTTTGTTCGGTTTCAGTTCTGTAAATTTTCCGGGAATTTTTTTTTCTTCTAAATTGCTTTACGGCCACTCGTGATGAATTCATATTGTAGCTCCATTTCTCCATTTCCTCCACTGCTCATGATTGCCTCCTCTTCTTAATCTGGCTAGTTCTATGTATTCTGAACCTCGGGATTTTCGTTTTCTAATGATTCAGTTTTGCGTGGAGTGTAGCTGAGTTTTTCGGGTTCCATTTTGTTGCTGGTGTTGATCTTACCTATCATATTTCGTGCCTTTTTCTTCATTTGGTAGTTCCTTCGTTGTTGATTGTTCAAGAATCAGAGTTGGTGCACCTTATTCTGTAGGCTAAGGGGCCACAGTATCTAACTACTTTAAGGTTTTACCTACCGGTGATTTGGCTCAATGATCTAGCAAAATGCTACCTTATCAATGTATCTAGTTGGGGCCCTCTGAATGATCTCTGGTTTGGTACAGTAGTTTGTGGCAATTTTGGTGTTATAGGCATGTATGTGTTGGATTGTTAGTGATGGGCGTATGAATGAAAGAATTGTGATTGTCATTGAAAGAGAAACACAAGCTTGTCATGTAACTACTTTCTCATTTGGAGATTTTCCTTGAATTTGTCTAATGATTTTGCTGTTGTCTATACTTGGTAGAGTCATAGAATATCAGCGAAAACTTTTTTACCTTCTCCAAATTTCTTATCGAACCATCCTTCTGCCGACAAGCCATAGAACTCGTTCATTCTAGCAGCAAATTTTCATTCCAGCAATTCCAGCTACATTATGGTAACATCACCGAGCTCATTGTTGACGATACCCTGGCTTTCTGATATACTGTGTAGTGAGCTTTATTGGGTGATGCCTGATACTCCTAGTAGTGTTGATTGTTGAATCTGTTGAGGAGTTATTTGTGAATCTCCCCACATCCTGTCGGAGCCGAAGTTGTTGTCCTATGCGAGGAACTGATTGCAGTTCTGGTAAATATTGTCAACTAGATGCAGTATCTATGGTTGTCATCATGATTGTGGACAGAGGTATGGAAGTCAGTAGCAATGCTCATATACTTCCAGACCACGAATATGGAACTTAGAAGCCATCAAACAGTTAATCCTAGATCCAGTAAAGCCTCAGTTGATGTTTATCTCTATGCTTTAACACCTGTTTTCATAATCACTAGTGACTAGTGAACTAGTACTTTTTGTACAATATAAAGTTAATGAATTGTTCGTGCAGATGCTGTGTCCTCAACATGGAAGATAGCTCTGCAGATGACTACTGCGGTCTCCTGATGGCTGCCGAAAAGCCAGAAACTTTCACAGTGTTGGAACCCACCAAGCCTCCACCAGCAAAGAAATTACGGAAAGAGCGTATTACTCGAGGCAAATTCTCTTGCCCTACTAGCACAACAGAGGCCATGGAAGCTGAAATCTGGAAGGATTTCCCAGAAGACCTCTTCCAACCCGTCATTGCCAGACTACCTGTTCCTACATTCTTCCAGTTCCGTTCGGTCTGCAAGAAATGGAACTCTTTGTTGCACTCTGAGAGCTTCTACCACCACTCCGCGCGAGCTCCAGAACCCGACCCATGGTTCTACACAATCACTCACGAGAACGCAAACTCGGGAGCCATGTACAATCCTTCCTCGAAGAAATGGTACCACCACCCTACGGTTTCCTCTCTCCCAGATAAGGCGATCGTCTTGCCGGTGGCTTCAGCAGGAGGGCTTGTTTGTTTCCTCGATATCGGCCATAGAAACTTCTACGTCTGCAACCCTCTAACTGGTTTTGTCAGAGAGCTGCCTGCTCGTTCAGTCAAGGTATGGTCGCTCATGTATCCGATTTGATAAATGGGAAAACTTTTGTGATTGTGTTCATTTTTGTGATTTCGTGCTTTTGTTATCGTGAAGGTATGGTCCCGTGTTGCCGTTGGGATGACCTTCAACAGGACTGCGTATAAGATTCTATGGGTGGGTTGTGACGGTGAGTACGAGGTTTATGACTCGATCAGCAACTCGTGGACTCGACCTGGTTCAATGCCAGCCAGCATCAAGCTTCCGTTATCTCTAAACTTCCGGTCTCAGGTGGTTTCAGTCGAGAACACTCTGTACTTCATGCGTTCTGATCCCGAGGGGATTGTCTCGTATGATGTGGCTTCCAGAATGTGGTCCCAGTTCGAGATTCCTTCCCCCTTACATCTGAACGATCAGGCGCTGGCAGAGTGCTCTGGCCGGATCATGCTGGTGGGCCTGCTGACGAAGAACGCAGCGACGTGTGTGTGTATATGGGAGCTGCAGAGGATGACGATGCTGTGGAAGGAGGTAGACAGAATGCCAAACTTGTGGTGCTTGGAGTTTTACGGGAAGCACGTGAGGATGACTTGCTTGGGCAACAAGAAAGGTTTGCTTATGCTGTCATTGAGGTCGAGACAGATGAACCGGCTGGTCACGTACGACGTGGCGAGCGGTGAGTGGGATAAGGTTCCAAGTTGCTTGGTGCCAAGTGGAGGTAGGAAGAAGCAGTGGATCGCCTGTGGCACTGCGTTTCAGCCTTCACCTACTGCCGTGGCCTGATATTCATCAGACTCCCTCCCTCTATGTATGGTTCCGTTTTTTCTCTCCTTTTTCTCTTTTGTTTTGATCGACAAACGAACAATCTGTAAGACTGCAACTGTCTGCATCCTGTTTTGTCGATCAAGTAGAAAATGGTGCATTCGTTTTTCTTTGGTTTGTAGCCGTTGATTGTACAGACTATGTTGTGAACGAATAACTTGTTATGTTTGCAGAGACTATTGAATTGCTTGCAATTAGGGATGGCAATCAAACCCATGGCCGCGGGTATCCGACCGCCCCCGACCTAGTCAACGCGGGGAATCCCCGCTTTGACCGGGTATGGGGCGGGTATGGGTAAAACTCGCAAAAAGTTTGATGGGTATGGGGCGGGTATGGTTTTAGCCTCCCCCGCCCCATACCCATCCCCATACCCGCCCCGCCAAGATAATTTCTTCACATATAAAAAAATATGTGCATCAAATTATAATCTATCAATGATGATGAGGATAACTTGAGAAAATAAATAGTAGAAATGCAATTGATTGACCACCTTAATCAAAATCTAATTCATTTCTCTCAATTCTCATTTCACTCTTTCACTTTCCCCCTTGTCAACAAGATTATGTTAGTTAATTATAATTTAGTAGATGTATCAGAGTTAGAACATAATAATTTGAAAAAATATTATACTCTATATTATGTATTAATGGATATTTTAGGATCATAATCTTTGAACCATATTAAAAAAATGACCGTGTTTTATTGACTTCGTGATATAATATGTTCGTTTAGAATTATAATGAGAATTTTTCTTGTAAGTTTTAGGTATAATAATGTTGGATGTACGAGTATGGGTATTACCCATGGGTACCCGAAACCCACGGGTATGGGGGTTTGCAAAACATTCCCCGCATGGGTATGGGGCGGGTATGAGTTTGGGTATTTGAAGATGGATATGGGGATGGTTTAAGCAAACCCGCCCCATTGCCATCCCTACTTGCAATTGGTTAAAAGTGGCAGTCTGATGGTTTTCCTGGTGATTGATGCATTTTATCTCCCCGTTTGTTAAGCAAATTCGTGTCATTTTCACTGTTCGGGGGCACATCTGATCGAACTGTGAGACACACAAAGAAGGGGCGAACTTAGGAGTTGTTGCTCAAAGAATAACGAGGGACTGAACGAACTGTTTATTAAGATTCCTGAAAATCACAGTACACTAACACATTATCTTTACTCTTTTTCATCGTTACATGCTATATAGATAAGGGGACAAAGAACAAACGAAACAACTCATTTTAAGATTGTCATTCTCTAGAGTAAAATCAGTTCTTCCACCAAACTTAAGCCATGCCTCCACTTGTTGCCGTCCTGATTATCTGGAACAGAGCTGTTGCCAAAAGTAAAAACTCACCATTAGCAATCCCATTCATCAGAAGCAAACAACTAAATAACTCATTATCAAAGACATCATCACAGAGATCTATCCCAAATTCTGAAATTTCTCTGGAGGGTATTTTGTTTGTTGACAAAGCGGGTTTGATCCAACTCTAGTAAGATATACTGGGGACGGAAAGAGTTCTTCCTACCAAAGCATAGTTAGTTACACTTTAATATCCAAAACCCGAAAAATCATTCTGATTGATTGAGCTGAAAGAGTCCAGCAGCCATGGAGAAAATGCGAAAGGACTTACAAATTGAGATGAGATGTGTAGATAAAGATTATTGAGGTGAAAAGTAGGGCTCACATGATCCAATGACGACGAAGATGAAGAACCCCAGGAGGAAAGGTCCAACAGGGTAATCCTTCCCCTTCTTGGCAGTGGTTTCAGGAACAGCTCCTCTCTTCAAGATATTCTTGTCGAACTTTGAAATCTTCCTGTCCGCAAGTCTCTTTGATGTAGTCTGTTGACAACACAACCAGGAAGAAAAGAAGGATTGAACACCATTTATTATCAATTCCATATTCCTCAAGATGTTGCACCAAAAGACAAATCCACATACAACGACTCATCATGCAATCCCTAGTTTCATCATTCCTCATCAAATTTCTCAACGGAGAACCCCACAAATTGATATCGATTCATTATCCCCAAAAAGATCCAAAGAGATAGAGCAATCGACAAAGAAAGTACTCGTTATCCAATCCCTGGATTCAACATTCGTCATCAGAATTATCAAATGGACACAACGCCATTGAATGATCATCAAAATCAATTGATAGTTGCACCAGAGACGAATCAACAAACAGAGCTAAAAATATCATGCAATCCCTAGTTCCCTCATTCGCGGTCAAACTTGGCAACGATCTAAACCATTAAAACACCATGCAGTAAAAACTGAGAACACCAAATCACCCCAGATCCAAGTGAATATTGGCGGACTTATAGCTGGATCGGATCGGATCGGATCGATTCGATGATCAATTACATGACGGACTAATTCGTCAAGACGACAAGGAATTGGATCTACGCCGCGGAGGAAAAAGGCTACATATCAAGAGAGAAACAAACGGCGGCAGGAAACAAACTTACCATGTTTTCGACGCCGAGATCGGCACGGCCGGAATCGTTGAGAGCAGAGTTCAGGTGTGAAAGAGAGAGAGACAAAGAGGGGGCGAGGAAGAGAAAGAACGAGCTCGCCGGTGAGAGGAGGAAACTCTGGTCCGTTTTTTCTAATTACCCAAAACCTCGCCCGCTTTTATTTTGGATTTACAGATAAATAAAAACGAATTTTAGGCCTCTGGGCTTGCCGATGCGTTTGCGTCATGGGCTTCATTATGATTGGCTAATGGTGGCCGAACGGGACAGATGTCGGGATTTTACTTGCTGGCCGGTACACGTCGACTTTGAGTTGGCGAAACCGTCGTGCAGTAGTGGACAGTGGTGGGGTGGCGACTAGTTCGCGAAATTCCGGAAACGGCCCGTCGTTTTGGATGGATTGATGACAGAAAAAGAAAATGAAATTAGAAAGCATAATGATAATAATTTGCTAATAATTAATTTTGGGGCACTATCCTTCCACGCGGTGGTGGGTTCATCCCGACGACGCCGGTGGCCACCGCATCGCAGCCACATGTTTCTACTTTCTAGTAGTTAGTAAGTGCAACAAGAACAAGTTCTTTGACCAAATCCCAATATTTTTGCAACTAGGTAAAAAGAAATCAATTATTTTTTGGGCTCTTCATAGTACACGGCCCATCGATAATAATTTCCATGCTGTGGGCTTTAGCTCACTTTGCAATATGCTCTTCATATACCGTCCAAGTCTAGGTAGAGCCACTCTTAGAAGAACAAGAGCTTCCATTCCAAACCACACCTTTACACAATTCTCCAAATATTATGGTGGAAACGGGGCGGAACGGACCAGATCAGATTACATCTACGATTTGCTGTCTAGACTGAGAAGATAAAATACAGATTATGGACCATACCATACTTTACGGTCCAGACCATGTATTGTACGGTGTAGTCCGGTACAATTTGGACTAAGCAGGTCATGTTTAACAAAACTTAACTCTTCTCCCTCCCTCTGATCCTCCCTCATATACGTCAAAATCAAAATTTCAGCTTCCAAGATCCTAGTGAAACAACAATTTAATGACCATATTAACCTGCGAAGAAATATGAGAGGAGAAGCAAACTTTTTTTTTTAATTTCTTACACCTACTCAAATCTCCATTACTCTATCTAATGACCACTAAAAAGATAATAAACAACAAATAGCATCGTCTCCCTCTTCCTCTTTGTGCTACCACTTCTTTCCTCTCCAAGTAGTTCGGAAGGTTCTCGCGCTCGATCTTCACCGTAACGAGGTAGAGGCCATCTTGAACAACTTGTTTGACCGCTTCGCTCGTAAAATTTCCATTATCTCACTAGGTAAATAAATTTTCTTCAGCATTTCTATATTATCGACTCTAGAGTCTAGACAAGGCCAGTCTATATGATTTTTCCATCTTTTCCTATTTTTTTATGGTTCTTTCATTAGGAGATAAGGCAAAAGAGATCACTTGAGCAGTCTCTTGGTTTTCAGCTAGATAAAGAATTAATAGATTTGTTGTGCTTGTACTGAAATATATAATAGGAAGATCAGGTTGTTTTCTCGCCATAGTCAGATTAATCAGGCTCGCGGTTTGTTCTTCCAAACGCAAAAATGGAGGTTTTTGTGTAGGGCTTGTAAACGGTTCCCCGGTTAACAGTTTAACCGGTAATCGTATCGATAACCGGTGGTAATCAGTTAAACCCAGTTGGCGGGTGGGCGAAAGGGACTGAATGGTATATCGGATAGGTTCCGATAATTTATCGTCGGTAAACAAGTTAACCGAATACCGAAAATCCACCAAGCGACAGAAGCAAAATGATGTCGCTTTGTTTGACAAATCCGCTCCAGCCCCATTTGCGATCTCTTCCCCTCTGGCCTCTGCTGCCGCGCGACAAGCTTCTGTTTCTCTCCAGTCTCCATCTTCGTTCTCACTCCTCTCCATATCCATCTCACAATTCTCACCACGCAGAGAAGACGAGAAAGCCTACTTCCCCGACCCAACACTGCGTCATCCTCACCCGCCATGACGATGGTCGACCCCACCTCATCGTTTCTCTTCATCTTTGTTTTCTCCGTCCCTGCCCCACCACACAGAGAAGGGGAAGCCTGGTCGCTAGATCCCCATCCTAGCCCTGCGTCATCCTCACCAGCCTTCTCTCGGCAGCCTACGGGATTTGTTCCAACTCGTCGTCGTCGGAGCTTCCCTGATTGATGTTCTCGATTAGGGATTTGTCTGTGGCTTTGTGTTAGCCGAATTCATATGAGGGATTAGTTGAATTGAATTGGGGGGGGGGGGGGGGGGGGGGGGGGGGGGGGGTTGTTTGTGTTAAGGTTAATTGTTAAGGAAGCATGAGTAGAGTAGATGAGAAGCTTATGTCAAGGACTATGTGTTAAAGGAGCAGTTACAACAGAGCTTGATCTAAGCAGCAACAAGCCAGCAGCAGAGCAACCGGTTATACACATTGCTACTGAGTACTAACAACCTCTCATCTCCCTATGTCGGTGTTTCGGGTGACTGGTTACTAACCGGTAACCTGCTAGTCCGTAACCTGTTATACTGATTGTTACTCGATGTCGGCATTCGGCAGATGTTTGTTGTGGTACGATAAACCAATTACCGGTTAAACCAGTTAACTACTAATTAACAATCCTAGTAGGTTATGGTTCCTACGGTTTATGTTTGTTGTGGATTATGGGTAGTAGGTTATGGTTCCTACGGTTTATGGTGCTCCAGACCACTTCAGTAAACCAGAACAAACCATGATTCTGGTCTCACTATCCGGACCAAACCATGCAGTTTGGTCTAACCGCGATTTCTCATACAATATGGTTTGGATTCTCAACCTTACTAGACACGATAATTTCAATCATAATGTTACAACGCCATATAGTAGACGCTAGATCGATGTTGTGGTTCTAAATTCAGAAAGATCATCATCGCCTCATCGGTGTGGTCACCTTGATCAAAATGGTTTAGTCAATATTTTTCTTTAATTACGGAAACTTAAAAACTATTTTATAGTATCGTTTGGTTTCTGTGATTGTTAGAATGCATGTATTGTTTACACTTCTTTGTTTGAGCTTCTCCAAATTGATGCATTTAATCAATTTGTGTATTGTAATTTGATGCATTAATCAACTGTATGAATTTGGAAAATACCTTGTTTGAAAGTTTTTGTTATAAAGAAAAGTTGAGTAGACATTAGATTACCCAATTAGCATAACATACCCACACGCTCCCGCTTTCAAGCGCGTAAACGCGATCTTCCACCAATTCGGTAGAAGTTTGCGAATTATCTTCCACCAGAGCGCGACTTTTGAGGTTATAGAGCGCGAATCGTATTTTTGGAGAACAAATCACTTGTCTTCTTCCTAGTGACTAGATTGGTTTACATCGTAAACCTAGATTCCGCCACCGGATAGGCCATCGTTAATTAGTAGGTTTGATTGCTTCCGTTAGGCCATCGTTAGGTTTGATTGCCTCCGGCCGTGACCCTGCAACAACCATCACCGTTCTTCCACAACAAACGCCTATTTAAACCCTCCCAAGTCCAAGCTAGCTGTAAATGGTTGAAATTATATGCTTCTCCAATTTGGGTAAACCGGAGGCAGTGAGCAGGGGTGCTATAGACCCTGAATAATTTGCGATAGAATGGGCTACGTGACGACAGTTCCATGCATCGACGACGAGTAATCGCTAGCGACTGGAAAGTTAAATTCTCACTAGGTCGCCGGAAAATGTGCTGTCGGTGATTTTGTCTCGCTCCTTGAGAGCAAAGCCACATATACTTAGATAGTTAGACTAAGTTGTGGCGGTGAGCAGAGATACATGGAGAAAGAAAGATAAATTATATAGTAGGTTGATTGTGGGTCCCCCCTCCCCCCCCCCCACTTTTTGTTAAATTTTAAAGGCAAAATACACTTCTATAGCCATAACTTTCACGTTTGTGACAAATATAACCATAACTTTCGGAAAACACAAAATAACCAGAATTTTGAATGTTGTATGACAAATCTAGCTATTTTCGTTACAAATTGTAATAGCGTTAGCGTCAATAACACAACCTCACCTCCATGTCAGCTCCACGTGGATTTAGAAATTAAAAAAAATAGAAAAAATCAATGACTTTTGACCTTTTGTTCTCCACCGTCTCTATTTCCTTCCAACTTCCCCCTTCTGTCTCTTCGCTTCCTCCTCCACCAGACCACCACGCCTTATCTTTCTCCTCCTCACTCCCCACACCCAACCACCTCTCAACCAACAATAATTCTTTCCCTGTCCCGAACATCTCTACACAGCAAATCTTTCCATCTGCAACCTCCGTAACCCTCTCCATCCCTAAAATCACAAATATCATCGTTGTGCTACCAAAAACAAATTGCCGCCATAGGTAAAGCTGAAGGAGGGAAGGGCCACCACCAGACAGCTACTCTCGTTTGCCGATTATATGCGCAGAAAGATGAGGTATGGACCAAGAGGTCGATTTTCTTCTGCGTCGTGCACCAATGGAGAAATTTTAACTTTCTCACCATCTCATCTATCTCGGACTCACTGGTCGAGGAAGAAAGGTCAATCTCAAGATGTAGGGATTTGTGGGTTTGGGATTTCTAGTGTCCTGTCAACATGCAACGCCAACAACTATCAGATCCGGTGTCGAGAAAGCGGTCGAGGGATTGTGTGAACGGAAACGGAAACTCTCTGTTCTCGCCGTAAGTTATCCTTCATGCCAATAAATCGATTCTCCAATGGTGGGTTTCAACCAGGGGAGACGATCCGACTTTGGTGGTAGAAGATGCAGGAAGAATGTATATGAGAGTAAGAGACCATGGACTCTATGCGTGCTTGTTTCCTTTTTCATATGAAGCAAAAAGTAGTTGGAAGACGAATGAGGGAAAAAAACCTTTTTCACGCAGCAGAAAAATGGTTTGAGCATTTCAAGTGAATAATTTTGTCATTGTTTTGCTTTAGCAGCAGGTGCCACTGCTACGTACATGCTTAATTAGTGCGCGGCTACCAGAGTTGCGCATATTTTGAAAAGGAGAAGCATGCATCCATCAAACCAATATCATCACACATCTCCTCTTCCCCTTTAACCTCACTGCCAAATTTTGTTCTCGTCAGTGGATGTCATGCTCAAACTTAATGACAATGCATTTCATTGATATCCCAATTCAGCAATTCTATATAATATCCTTTTCCTACACAATATTTTGTATGGATTAATCAAAAATTGCAGTTGAATTCAAACCTCGACCAAAGGCACCGCAGAGCTTGTAACGACATCGTTTCAACCAAAAGCAAGCGATGAGCTAGGAAGTGAACGGTGTCGTTCTACTTAGTGTCCATTTGGGTTTGAATAATTATTGTACATTACATGTGTCTTTTCTTATTGGTAGTTAGTGCTTAGTAAGTTTACCACCGCTGTAATTAAACTTAGCTACTTAGCTTGTACAAAGAGCGTGTTTATATTCACAATATATATATACAGTATTCATGGCTTTTGAGCCTCTTTGCGGGTTTCGCCTCCATTTATGGTCCCTATACAAACTACTTATGATATCATATCATGTTCAGGCGATTAGGGTTTCATCTACCTGCGATTAGGGTTTCTCTTTGTGGGAAGATCCGAGGCAATGATTTGGTCAAGTAGACAACATCAGAATCTGTGGCCTATAGGCTGCTTTGTGATGATACTTTATTTATAGTGTTTATCACTTACATACTTGATCCATATCCCCCTTTTATTGATGCATCTTTAGTGGTTTTGATTATATTTCATATGAAATTCATAACTATTTGAATAATTAGCTTATGATATACCTTGAGTGTGTTTTTGCAATATTGATGTCTTTTTTGTATTGTTTTGTGCTTTTCGAGGTTATAAACCACTAAAGATGAATATGGATCACCAAGGGACATAATGCATATGAAGGGGACAAGGATACAAGCTCATCAGATGCTCACTTTATTGCTAAAACAAGCAAATATGATAGTGCAGCAGACCCAACTTTGTCTGAGGTCCAACCGAGCTACACAAGTCAGACAGCCCCAACCGTCGCGACCAAATTTTGAGAAGAGGATGTTTGTGAGCCAAGCGACCAATTCCAATTGAAAAGGGCCAATTGCCGCCACAGGACGACGACTGTTTTAGTGTGTGATTGTGAATTACTTCCCACTCTCCAGTACTCGTACTGGCATCCTTCACCTCCTCACTAGGAGCATCCATCACAGGACGACGACCAGTCGTAAGTTCCATATAGGCACCATACTACTATCATTTCACTCCCCCTTGACTCTAGACTTATGTTTCTTTTCTCTTTTTGGTGAGTGATTGTGAATTACTTAGTTTGTTTTTCTTTTATTGTGATGTTTGAATATGTGTTTTTGTGTTTGTTCCGTGAGATCTCTCTCTCCCTCGAAACTAGTTCAAATCCAGTCCGACTTTCACTTGACAATGATTTGATAACTTCATTCCACCCTTATTCTTGCTCTATTGGGGACAATGACATGTTTAAGTGCAGGGGTGTAGAATATTGCTATCTGAGGATATGTGTTTGGGGTTCAGATAGCTTTTTTGCGTCCAACGATCATTATTTTTTACCTTTCACCCCTTACGCCTCTCATCCTCACGGGACTTGTATGAGAGGAGATAGTGTGTATCTGCACAAGTCAAGAGACGTCAATTCTGGTTTTTACTTCACATGTGTTGCAACCCTTCTGGCATTGAGACAGAGAATGCAGGTTGAGAATTGATGCTTGAGACATAGGACTCATGTCCACCGCTTCACTTTATTGGAAGGAAGAGTTGCTGAGTGCAAAATATGTGCATTTTTACTATATGTGTATCGAGGTTAGGTTGTTAATGATGTTGATTTGTTATTACGTCTATCTCAATACACCATGATGGCGCCACTTTTTTATTATTATTTTTGTTATTAATCATATGCCTTTCTTTTATTTTTAATTATAATTTTCTGCATCATATATGCTACCTTTGCATCTTTTGGGAGTATATGGAGATGACAGGAATTTAAGCTTTGTGATTATTCTCTGCATATAACTTTACTATGTGCAATGATAGTTGTGGGAATTGCGGTATGAGTCATCCAGGCTAAAATAATTACTCGCAGCTCAAACGTACTAATCAATCATCTAAGCAAAGTTGTGATTTGATGGTGCATGTGGGAGGCTTTGGGTTAACGGCATATTCTTTTAATAATAGACCTGGATTTCTTTTAGATTATTATGTTAAAATGACTCAAACTTTACAGTAAATTATTAATTTGCCCAATCTTTTCAAAAATGGCTATTTTGGTATAAAATATTAGAGTTAATACCACTAAAAATATAAACTCTTAGCATAATTTTCATTTAAATTACATAACTTCAATAATTACAGTAATAGTCCAAACTATTGGAATTCATAGTCATTTGTGTTACAAATTTTAGTTGACCGTTAAAATTAATAGTTGAATTAATGATAGTCAACTTATGTTTAACGTTGCTAATGTGACGCTTAGGTGTCACACATGTACGTGTCACGTAGAAAATTAATATTTAAAAAATAAAATTTTGTGAATAAATAATTAATATGTATTTTTAAATAATTTAATTTAACTAATCTTTTTCTCGATACTTTTTTCCCTCCTCCCTAATTGCCCCCAATTCGTCATCGACCTGACTCATTTTATCCGACCTATTTGACCTATTTTGAATGGGTAATACCAGCCCATAGGCAGGGCCGGCGAGCATGGGTAAGCTCATCGACCTGACATGCCTTGACCCTCCCCATTATCGAATCGTTTTCCTCTAATTACACGTCCTTTACTAAAATTATTTTGGATTTTACTTTTATTACTTATGATTTTAGCTATAGTAAAGTTGTAAATATGTGAGAACATCAATTTTTAAATAATTTTCTACATTTACCATTTTCTATTTTGTTTCTTGATTTTTGTAATGAAAAATGAATATTATTATTAAATTAGATACACATATGGGTAGACCTGCCCCAACTCGCGCCTCATGATCGAGATAGAGGGTAATAGGGTGGGTCTCGAGACCTACCCTAGCTCGGGAGGAAAATAGTTAAATTAGTTACTATAGTTAATTGATGCTGAAAATTAGGGCACATCTAATTGATAATAGTTGGTAGAAAGATCTTGTGTTTGGGCATCCTCATTTGTAAACACATGGTATTAAGATTTGTACAAACTTCAATTCCATATAAGCTTACTTTCTTATACGGGGTGTGTTAGTATAAGATATAAAATATATTAATAAACCTCACTCAATAAATTGGGTCATTGATACTAAGTTTCTTGACAAAGAATACACTTCGAAAGCAAACGAGTAACTAAATCATGAATAATTTTTTTGTATAACATTCATTATTAAATCTCTCTCAACAACTCGAGTTATTGATACTAAACGACTCTTGACAAAAATGAAAACATTTAAAAGCAAATGACTAACTAAATTATGAATAATTATTTGGTATAAAAAAGTGATATTATTAATAGTTTTGACTATTTTAATTTATCAAAAAAATTCGAACATAATATTATATTGGAACAATTAAAAATTTTAACAAAATATATTTTATCATGTATATATTTTTTAAAAGTGAACCCATTCTAAATAAAATCCTAACTATGCTCCTAGTCCCGACCTGCCCCATTGACATTCCTTCTTTTCTATCTTCTTTGCCACTGATTAGCTTATCCGTTTGTTGCTCCTGTTAATTGATGTCCCTGAAGATTCTCTGATTTTGTTGTTCATCAATATGTTCTTTGCTTCTTTGGATTTGGTTGTGCGAGCTAAGGATGGTTGCGCTCTCTTGTGCACGCCCTCTAACAGAAAGCAATCTCATATTCATACATGACAGAGCTCCTTGTAGATGTTATTTGTTTTGGTTGTGGATTGCCTAATGTGTAGAGTAGTAATTGTTGAATGTGAGTCAGAGGTCTCAAATCGACATCTATAACCAAGAGTCATCTACACATAATATAATACACCGAAGGGAAAAACGGGAGTCCCATTTCAAATTTCCTGCAACGAGAGTGAAAGTAGGAATGACATTTTGGTCTTCACAATTACTTTTTTTTATTCATTAAAAAGATATGTACTAGGATTTGAACCATGACCATTTTAAAGACAAGCAAGGATCATAACCAATCACACTAAGTACATTTGTTGTATCCTTTTAAATTAAAAACATATAATAGCAGGGTGGAAAAAACTCTTCCCTCATTTCAAATTCCCTGTTCCATGAGCGTTTGTAGGAAGGGTAGAATAGGGAGTGTTAATTTTTTTCTCTTTCCTCTGTGGAACGGGCCAACTTACCGTACACATGCGGATTTAAACGAGTCCAGGAGTGTCAATTTTTTTCTTTATACCCTTTTATTTATCCGTGGTGATAAAATATATATGAAAAGGCAAAAATAATACTCCTTTTTATTGTTAAAAATAAAAAATTTAACAATAGACTAATGCATGGTATCTAATGGGCTAACCGCTAACCATAAAATAAAAGAGTTGAATGGGTCTGACCTACATGAGATTTGGTCATCAAGTAAAACAAATGAACATCATGGGTTTGCCATTCTAAAACAAGCTATTTTCTCTGGCATAATATATATTATGCTATTATTTTATATCTTAGTGGCTAAAATATAATGTATTTTAAAGTTATTCAATGGTTCAACCTCGACCAACCCAATTAGTCCAATTTTTATCATTTCAAATATATATTTTATAATTATTTGACATCATAATGATCAAATTATAGTGTATTGTATAGGGAATCGTTTGGTATTTGTTAGTAAAAAACTAAACATAAAAATCTATTTGGTAATTTTAAACATTAAAACGATCCTCAACATTTTCAGTTCCTTTTGAATTTATATGGTTTTATTCCCGAATAAGTGATGTGCAAATGGCGAATTGTAGTCGTCTTTTTTCTTTCACTATTTTTTATTTTCAAATAGAAAGTTTAAAAGTAAAGAATAATTAGAATTTGGCATAGGTCGGTCAAACAGGTTGAATTTCAAGTTTTGGCCCATTTGTTTTATGCATTGCAAATTTATTAGCATGTTGATGGAAATGGCTTGGAAAAAATACATATAAGTTGTATCTTTGAAGAAATGTCCTCAAATGTTTGAATGCTTTGTGAATCAGGTTCTGTGACTTTTGTGATGGTGTATGTGCTTGACGATTGCTCGATGTTGTAACTACTTAATTTAAGAGTAAATCTTTTGATTTTCCCTATGAGTTGTGATACCAGTTCTGGTGGTTGCAGCATGTTGTCGTTGTTGGCCTTTAAAAGTTGTTCCGCCGTGATGCTAAATACCTTTCTTTCTTTTTTAACAAATTGTGTAGTAGTGCTATGAAACAGACCACCCATGAACGTTACGCTTATTATGGTCTGTTCTTACTTCCGGTGGTGAGAAATTGTGAATTGAGAATCATATTCGCCTACCGCACTGTGTCTGGTTGGTGGCTGCTTACTGTGCTCTCTAGAGCTATGAAACAGACTACCCATGAACTTTACCCTTAAGAGTCCATAACTTTGCGAAAAAACAAATATAGGCAATCAAAGGTGGTGGATGTGTGATGATTTTTTATGGCTTAATTGTTTGTGAATTAGATATTTGATCTTTGTATGATTAGAGGGGATGTTTGCTTAATAGAATAATCCATTTTAATTCATGTTTATTTTTAACATGAACTTTAGTAACTCAAAACCTTCGAGACACATATCACCTACTGCATTGTATCATTTTGCCTGGGTGCTTGCTGTGTTGTCAAACTTCTTTGCTGCTGATGCAGTTACACTAACAGGGGAGTTAAGAACCCATGAATATTTCCGTTTGACACAAACAAGAGGACTTACTTCTAAATCGTGCACTAAAGATGATTGGAGGAAACATCTCTGTTGCAGTTGATACACTGGAGACCATAACAAAAGCAACGTATAACATCAAAACCAACCATCTGAACTATTAGCATTGTTGCTTTACTCTTTTTTCGTGGTTGAGTCTCCTTCAAAAAATTTAGTTTGATTTTAGAAAATTTTGCTTCTGCAGTCTTGTCTTGCCACCAACGCGTTCAGTAGATGGAGATGGCAGAGGCGAAGGCTATTTTGTGTTGTTGTTGCTGGTTTAGGGATCGGTTTGTGAAGAAGAGGGAGAAGTGAGGGGGAAAGGGAAATGCATGAGAGGGGGATAACTCTTTTCTCCGACAAAAATGGAGTGAAGAAAGGAATTATGATCAGTAAGGATATGGTTATCTTACATAACTGTGTCTATTCTGTTTGAATTGAGCTTGGGAGGTAGTGATAAGGACGAGCTGCAACCAATTCATAGTGATAAGAGTGCTATGAACCGTGATCATGTCTTATTTCAAGTTAGAAGGTAGTTTCAGTATTAGGATTATTTAATTTGACAAGTTGTTTCGTCCATGATTCTTGGTAGTTTCAGTGCCATTCTAGCCATTGTTTAGTCTGTAATTTTTGAGAATTGATGTGCGAGTAATGACTTTCACTTAGCTTCAACTATTATGTGTGTATTTATTGGCATGTGATAGAATTCTCTTTTCCTTTTCTTTGAATTCATTTTCATACTCTAATTGTATCATTTGTACATAGGCAAATCATGCTCGAGATGACAACTTGCTGATATGGCTGGTGCAAGGAATGAAGCCATCATTAAAATTCAGACCGACAACGGGGAGGGATGCCCAGGACTAATTCAATGATGATTGATGATGGTATGATAAAAACTGCAGTCTGCATCAGCACCAATTTCTAGGCCTAAGTAAAGTTATTCAACCCAGAACTCTGCTTAGCGCTAAAAATTGCCCTCACCCAACCTTTATCCTGTTTCACCCACTTCTGAAGAGTCAAGATATATTACTAATTCTCTCCATTCGTATTTTCTTATTGACTCTTTCTGACCCTTTAGGTTGGGGCGGGTCGGGAAGAATCGGATTAGTGGGCCGGTCTTAATCAAGTGGAATCCCAATCCCTTCACTCTCACTTGCTTTCTCTCCCATTCCACAAGTGGGTAACACACAGTAATCCGGCCAACGGGCCGGGTAATAAGCTAGTTATAAATATGATAAGCGAACCTATCGTTAGAGAGTACCCCATTGATGTATGTTGTATTCTATTGAGGACGATTTTGCATTAATTTATCGATAAGGTGACACATAAAATCTTTTCAATGTGTCTTTAGAGCTAGTATTGTTTGACTTTGTCTTATGAATTAGATGTAGATGAGGTCATGATTTTTTTTTTCTTTTTAGAATTCTGGAGTTCTAGTAGGGGTGTGCAATGGTCTGGTCCGTATCGGTCTGCATCGAGTATAATGTGGTCTGGTCATTGGTCCACATCATTACTGAAAAAATGATGGACTGAGCTAATATTTGGACCGGACCGAACCGGAGCAAATGGACCGAATGCAATGATAGTCCGGTCCTTAGTCCTAAGATGTATTTTACTAATAGACCGCGATCCTCATTAGTTTGATCCGGTCCAGACCGGACCGACCCGTTGTACACCCAAAGTTTTAGATGTTGTTTCTATTTGTTTTTTTTTATATTGACACATTGGTAAAAAGATTACTTGAATTTACATAATCACTAGCCGCGACTACTTAATTAGTCGGCGAGGGAAAGAACTAATCAAAGGGCAATTAATTAAGAGAGACGAAATCATGTTGTAGCAGGTTGGGTTTGATTAATTCCCAACCATTCATCACGTGTATACAAGAAATGCACACATCCTTATCACGCACAAAATCAACGAGGCGGGCATATGTTTGGTCCAGTTTTAGGAAAACTGTTTCAGTCCACAACATCAATTGTTTATGACTCGATTAATTAATTACAAGATTAAAGTAAAACCAAACTCCCTTTGATCTCTTCTTATATTGCCTCCCTTTCCTTTTAAGTTTTGTCGCCATCTCGTTTAATGAACTGTAAAAGAGTTGTTACATAAGATGTGATCCAAATTTTTATAAGGTTAATAAATTAGTAATGAGTTAATATTTTTATTTAAAAGTCATATCTTTTAGCAATATTTGAAATAAAACCAAGGTAAAGAAGGTGTTAGGCGTAAGGTAGGCGTTGACACCTTGTCTCACGGCTAGTTCGCTTAACCGTGTCTAGGCATTGGAAGAAAAGTAATTATTTGAACTCATGATGAATGAAATAATAATTTATAATACTTCTTCACTTTAGTTAAAATATTGTAAAAAAAGCACTTCAGTTAAAATGATTAATAACTTACTTAACACTTAACGATAAGAAAATAACTCGAAAAATTCTAGAATAGTAGCTCAATAGCTTACAAAGTTCTAGAGCTATTAGAACTATTGATGCAGAAAATTGATTTCATAATTGATGGTAATTTCATTTTTTAATATTGATTGCGTAGCTCCATCTAATTATGCCTAGGATAGGTGACACTTAGATGTCGTCTTACTCCGTTGACGTGTTCCAGTACCTAACTATGCGTGGAACCCCTAGACGGCGAGGCGTTTTGACATTTTCTAGCAACTAAGCGTAAGATTAATCGCACCTGTTTGAACCATGAATAAAACTATCAATTAGTTCTTCAATTTTCGTATCCTACCATAGATTTTTTTCAATTTTCGTCAGTGCTAGTTTATTAAGACTTTATTGTGTCATTTTAGAACACAAATATGACATTAGTGACACAAATAGGACTTTAACAGTCAATACATGCATATGTGTTTCTTGTCATATTATATATAGACCAATAACTAACACTGACATTTATCAGCAAACTTAAATCCATCACCACATTCATAATTAATTAATCATTCATCACAAGTTCAATATGTAATATGCGATTAAATTAACTAACAAACATACAATAGAGGTCCCTAATATTTGGAGGCACTTTCTGTGCTGACATATTTGATCACCTGCTCATATTATAAGCATTATATGTGGTGAGGTATATAATTTATAAATTTATGAATTATCAACAAGCCAATTATAAGTTGTTAACCAATTTGCTCATAAGTTACTAGTTGAGGTGATCACTAGCCATACCGTCGATCAATCTTATAGCTCAAAATGCTGATGTTAATTAATTCAAAATGTTAATTAATTCAAACTTTGCTACCTAAAGCTTGTCAAATATCAAAGTTGTGTCACTATGTTTACGATTGGCCCAATCTATTACTAAAATATAATGACAAACAGACAAAGTATAAAGAAGTTAGGTAATTGGACGTGGATTATTTTTTGTTAATGCTCTACAAGGCATATAGCTTATTTGATGGTCTAAGCCATTAATTGATTAAAGTAATGAGGGAGAGAGATGTTTATTTATTTATTTCGACAGAACTAATAAAAGCTTTTTTTTTAGGGAGGAATTTTAAAAAATTTATAGAATTGTTATTTTAGTTTAAAATTTTTTTATGGTACAAATTGAATTTATAGTTATACTGTTATAATATGGCACAAATTTATATCATGATACAATATTTATTTATTTTAAAAACTAAATTTATACCTTTAAACATGATTATACAAGCTCAATTTATAATTTGAAATACATATAGTTTATAG